TAAGGAGGCGCCGCTGATGCGCGGCCCGTCCCAAATCTCGGCGCCGGTTTGCATGGGCTGCCTGAACTGCATCGAGCCGAACGATCACATCACCTGCGACAAGTGCGGCTGGCCGCTGTGCGGGCCGGAGTGCCACGCGCTGGACGAGCACAGGGCCGAGTGCCAGCTAACACAGGAGCGCGGTCAAAAGGTGAACGTGCAGGAGTTCAATGGACCGCATCCGCTGTACACCTGCGTCAGCACGGTGAGATGCCTGCTCATTGGCGAGACGAATCCGGCCAATGCGGCGAAATTCAAGCAGCTGGAAACGTTGGAGCAAACACGTCGCGGCTCGAACCAATGGAAGGCTGACCTGGCCAGCATTGGACAGTTCATACCCAAGTACATGCATCCATGCAATCATGTTGTGCATATTTCCACTAATGCATTTGCCCCGCACAGATTCTTTCGCACGCAGAAGTTCAGCGAGGAGGAGATCATGCGTGCCGTTGGTGCGCTGCAGATCAATGGACACGAGGTGCCCACATCGGATCCGCCACATGTGGCGGTATTCTATACGGCCTCGTTTACGGAAAACTCGTGTGTACCAAATCTGGCCAAGAGCTTCAACAAGCACGGACACTGCATGCTCTGGGCCCCGAAAGAGATCAAAAAGAACTCGCATTTGAGCATTTGTTACTCGGACGCCGTGTGGGGCACTGCCGATCGACAGCGGCATCTGATGCAAACGAAGCTCTTCAAATGCAGCTGCGAGCGCTGCCTGGACGTCACCGAGCTGGGCACCAACTACAGCGCCCTCAAGTGCGAGGATCGCAAGTGTCCCGGCCTCTTGTTGCCGATCAAGGCGGACGACTGGCATGGCAGCTGGCGGTTTGTGTTTTTGCGGTTCGTCTTTCCAACGAGATTATTAAATCGAAATTGTCTTTGGTTTCAGCTGTCGCGAGTGCCAGAAACAAGTGCAGCGAAAGTACGTGGACGGCATATTGGAGCGCGCCAGTCAGGATATTCAAAGCATGGAAAAAACGGCCGAAAATGGTTTCAAGTAAGTCAAGGTTGCCCTCCTAAAACTGGCGATCAACTCTTCATTGTTACTCCCAGATATCTTAAGCACTACGAGAAATGGTTGCCCACGCAACATTATCACCTGAGCGAGGTTAAGATTCTGCAGGTGCAGCTGATTGCTAAGGATCAGCAGGAGCTAATGATACTATCCGATGAGCATCTGCAATTGAAATTGAAATATGCCAAGGAACTGATTGAACTCTATGAAACTCTAGCGCCCTGTAAGTCAATCCGTTAACCTCATATAAAATGTATTCGCAATTAACTAAAATTATGAAATAGGTGAAGTCCGAATGCTGGGTACACTCTGCTTTGAGCTGCATTCAGCTATTTCCGAGAATACACGACGCATCGCGCTACAATCGAATCTATCGCCCAGGGAAATGCTTGAGGAATCTTTGCTGTATGTGGAAAAGTGCGTCAACTATTTGCAATACGAATCGGACATATTTGTCGAGGGGCATATCTTAAAACAGGCGAAAATCAATCGTGACGCATTGCGCATGGTTATTAGAATATCTTAATTACGTACTTACACTTATTTTTGACCTTTTTCTATTGATTTTTGTGCTGTTGGTGAAAGTCTAAAAAAAAAACCACAACAAATAAAGGCGCGCTTAACAATAATTAATATTAGAGTAGCCAGCTTTTTGTCACGCTGTGCATATCAGTCAGCTAAATGGCGTGGAATATTCAGTGTTGCTCAGTTTTGTTAAGAGCTGTGCTGTTAAATACGTTGGAGCTCTGGTAGTTAAATTTGAAATGCAAACTTTTGGCACTTAAACTGCGCAGACGCGTTTCTTATATTTACACTTACATTGCTGTTTTGTTAGTATCCAGCAAAGGAGATTTCAAAGTCAAACGTTTCCTCCTTTGAGTTGTATGCCGTGCGGCAACGTTTGTCTATAACAGTGAAAAAGGATTTGCAAGAAAAACAAGTAGCGCAAAAAAGTATTGCATTTTTAAAAGCGCTTTAGGAGCGTGGACAAAGTTAACATTCAATTTTGGACTATTTTGATAAAAGCAAAGAAGATTTTTTAACTGGAGAACCTTCCAGTAACTACAAATTGTGTCGATTTATAATAATATTTTTTATAAGGTAAGCTGATAATTAAGTAAAATTACGCAATTCGTTTATGACATATGGACGAGGCGTATTGTATTGGGTACACCCCGTTAGCAAAAAAAAAAAACCTACAAAAACAAGGATTGCTCAGATTTGGGTATCAAATTTCCGTGTTATTGGCAAATTGTGTTCCTGTGGCACATTTACTGCGTAATTCGTAACTGGCGTGCCAAAACTGGGCGTCTGCGTGAACCCACTCACATATACATCTACCTACATGTATGTACATTCAAGCCAACATAATACATACATACATAATATTCTTGTATACCATAATAAAAACATATTTAAATTGTAATCTTATAATGCTATCATGCATAAACAACTTCTCCAATGACCATCGAGTGCATAGTAAATAAAAAAGCAGCTCGTGGCATCCTATCAGTCCCTGGATATTCCACTCGACAACGCAAGTGCTCCAGTCTTGAAATTGAAAACAAAAGAAATCCGCACTCAGATTCTAATAGTATATATATATGTGTGTGTGTGTGTATATGTATATATAGATGGACATATATAATCGACGATTGTAAATTAAATTCATATCAGAAATCATAATCACAAGCCGCAAACGTGGACGCTGGTCTTTTGTGTTGATCATCGCCAATAACACAAAGGGCCTAAAAATAGCATCGGCCTGTGTACAGTTGATTCCGGTTAAATGCAAGCAAATACAATAAAAATTTAATATCTCACTGATGCATAATTTGTTACATTTCCCCGGCATGTAAATCAGCTGCCCGCCGGAGCAACTGTGGGATGCCGTTAAAAGCAAGTGGGCCACATTTTTAAGGCACGTTGGCGCCACAAATGCATTGTCAATCATTATTCAAATGAATGTTTCTATTATTTAAATTGAATGGAGAATTCCATTTCCAATTAAAGTGTGGCTCAAAATAATAATAAATCAATTATTTAGCATTTGACGAGCCTTCATGAGCTGATCTCACAAACAATTGACCCATCTACTGTGCCATTGGCATTATTTCTTTTATTGAACATGAGAGTTTTATTGATAACATAAATTGAGTTTAATTAATGTTAATATCTGTGCGTATGCATATGTGAAGTAGCAATAAGTTCGTGTGTCGCAAGGTTTACATTGTCCAATTTTATGGGACTTTCGCTTTTTTCGATCTGCAGCCGTAAAGCACTGCGTATGTATTTACACATACATGTACATACATACATATATGCATATCGTATAATTCAATATGTTTACATTTTAAGTGTTGCGAAATGTTCTCAGTCAAAAATTGACCTCATCGCATTTTCACGAGGCTGCAAAATGATTTCTGAAATTTTTATTATCAGGATGCGAAGATATTAAGGCGTAAATTCATGTTTGGCAACAAAGAACAAAGACAGCTTTACGCACAAAAGATGTGCGTATGTATATAGTATGTGTCTGTTTGTTTTTATGTACATGTGTACATGTGTATGTGCATTGCGTTTTCTATCTCCACATTCTGTTTTTAGCGCACCAATTCCATAACTTGAGTAGCTTGCGGCCAACGGCCAATGCGCTTTTTCACAGCCAAGCGGAGTTGAGGGTGAGATTGAGAACCAAAACAAGAGCTGCAGAGAGTGAGAAAGAAAGAAGAAGATGGAAAAAGAGAAACAGAGGGAGAGAGAGAGAGAGAGCGAGAGCGACAAAGTGTGTGAGAGCGAGCAGTTTGCCGGCTCATGTATTTTGCACGCGTTGAGTGCGTGATAATCACGCAGCACTCACATGTTTGTTGGCTGTATTGTGCTTGTTGTTGTTGTTGTTGTGGTAGTACTGGTGTTGACCCTCATTTCCATTCAAACATCTCTCTTGCTCGCTTTAGCAAACAAAAAGCGCTCACACTTAGATAAGTGTGGATATGTATGTACATGTGTAAGCTTGTGTGCGTATATAATCGATGCGTTTGTGTATGTACAAAGTTGTTTATTTGTTTTGAGTTGAAACAAACAATAAATAACAATTTTTTAATTGTAAATAAAAATAATCAATGAGTAGTGTACTATCTCAATAGCTTTCTTACTACGTAATGCCACACGCAGCGACTTGGAACGTGACTAATGCAGTGTTTTTTCGTAAGATGTTTTTCTTAATTCATTAACATATTTTTAAAAATATTATAGAAAATGTCGAGAATATAAGAGTTGAGGGCCGGTTGACAACACCACCACGCGTCGCAGTTCTGTTTATATTTGTTTTGGCCATAAATCTGCCGCTTACCCCGATTAATATGTGTACGTATATACATATATCTATGGTAAATAGAATATAGTATACAGTTTGTTTTTGTTTTTTACTTTGATTATGTTTACGAACCGCTCCGTATTTGTTTTGTTCAGAATTTTTAATTCGATTAACGGACATATGTGCACACATACAAATGAATATAAACAAAAGATAAACAACAACACTGGCTGCTAACACTGACAAAAATTGCTGTGTTCAAATCAAAGCTAATATTAAATAAACTAGTGGAAATCTAACAAAAAAGTGGGCGCCTGATATTTGCACTGAATAATATATTCTTTGGGTTTCATTTGTTTTTGAATATTCCATTAAAATTAGCAATTTTGAGGTATCCAAGCATCTAGAACAAATTTAGTTTGTATGTGTTTCTCAGTACACGCGCTCAGTGCATGCATTGCGTGCTTGTATTATGTATCTATCCGTGTGTATGTGTGTGTAACTGTGTGTGTGTGCAGCTTTTGGTTTTTCAACTCATTCCACCTCTGCTGACGCCGACGTCGTCGCTGCTGCCGGTTTATTTTGCTTTTTAGAGCGTGCATCGTCTCAGGAAAATTTCAGTTGTTCTTTGGAATTGCGCTCGACAAGTCCAGTGCTGGAAAGAGCTACTACAATTCAAAAAGAAAAAAAAAAAGAAAAATCTGTGAAACTCTGTGTAAAGACAGTGAAAAAGTGTTTGAAGAACCTAAACAAGCATAGTTAATAAAGTTAATAACATTTTTAATGTGTATTATCGCTAATTAAAAAATAAAAATACAAACAAAAAATAAGCAAAGCCAATAAAATAATAAAATGCCGGTCGATATTTGCAGTCAGCAGCACAATATGATTAGCTCAATAAGGTAAAGCCCATATAGATTTTTATTGACTTTCTCAATTGCTGTCATAAAACTAAAGTTTTAAACGATTTTCATAATGAGTGCAACAAAAATAAAATAGAAATTTTTCAAGTGATTTTAATGAGATAAATGCAAAATAATCCAGCACACGCTGAATTTATATAAATTATCTAGTATCTACCTGTAATTATCGGATACTCGTGCCAGGGCGCAAACACTTACATCAATCTGTCAAGTGAATTGATCAATATTCATAAATACTGTCATGCCAAATGCTCAATAAATAAAACATAACGAATTGTTTGCATAAATTGATAAAGATCTATTGCATATTTATATAGAAGCACACCTGTACACTTGACATTTTAGACACAAGCTACTCCCCCATTGTCTCCACCTGAATCGTGTACAGAAAGCAAATAGGTTTTACATTAAAGTCAACTTTATTGTGGTTGACATTGAAATTAAGATTATTCTATATAGGAAACAAAGAGAAGTTGTTTAGAAATAAATTTAATATCATGATGTGAGGATCAATCAAATATTATTTCATGGCTCTCTAAAAATCTGCCATGCATTTTTGTTGTGTAATGAAAAACAAATGAGTTTCCAAAGCAAAAGGCAAACAAATTGACCTTGTTCCAAATCGGGCTATGTAAACGATAAAGCGCGTACGAACTCGTCTAAAGAATAAATGCTAAGCAATTTGATATAAACATTACATATGCTTGTACTAAGATATTAGGCGAAATAATTTATTTAATTTATTATTTGTTATCTTATCGAGAGGCTCTTTTGAACATTTCATAGTAAATTAGAAGTCCAGTTTTGTGTATTCAATATGTTCTTTCGTAATTCTTACAATACTGAACTGATTTCTTTGCTAAATATCTTCTTGATCTTGGTACGACCTCTAAATCTCTAGAAAATATATTTTTGCAAATAAAATTTGTGCTCCCGACAAGTATAAATAAGTATCCACGCATATTAATACATATATATATGCTTAAATTGAATGTGATTTTCTTATTTTTCAGCGGAACAACAGATACCTCTTCTTTGTCGCTTGACGCACTCTCCTTGACGTCTGCTCTGCCGCCGACCGATTCCGAACATCATCATCACAACACGCACAACATGAACAAATTGTGCCGTCAAGTGTCAATTGAGTCGCCCGGACCGGGCGTAAAGAATTGTGTTTTTAATTTTTTCGTGCCCATTGAGGATACACCGGCACATGGCGCTCGCATCAAGATTGTCTGCGCTGGCGCCTGCTATCGTCGCAGAGACCGCTCCAATTCGATAACCAGCGTGTCGTCAGTTTCGTCGGAGTTGAGTGATTACTGCCCGTCGGGCACATCGATGACATCGATGTCATCGCCGGCTCATCAGGGCATACGTGAGGGCTCATTCTTTCCTGGCTTCGAGGTGGCCGGCGTAATTGAGGCGCTGGGCTCGGAGATCACAGAGGCAAACAATTGTGGCCTGCGCATTGGACAGCGCGTCATTGTCTATCCGTTTGATGAGACACCTGCCGGCTATGCAGAGCTGCTGGTGGTGCCCGATCTGAAGCACATTGTACCGATCCCGGATAGTCTGCCCATGGAGGAGGCAGCGATGCTGCCGACAGGCGCACTGCTGGCCATGAATGCTGTATTCAAAGCGCAAGCTGTTGTCACGGAGATACTAAATCAGCGCGCCGCCACGGATCCCAATAAGAAGTGTAAAATCTTAATCGTTGGCACAGGTGGCTTGGCTCTTTGGGCGGTGCGTATTGCATCCTATCATTTTGCATCGACTGGTGCACACAATGTGGACATAACGGTGGCCAGTCTCCGGGACGAAGGTTTCCGCTTAGCTACAGAGATTAAGAAGTGAGCATTTTACGCCGCGTACTTATCGCCAACTATCTAAACTAAATATTAATTCTTGCATGCAGTGTCAGCGTTGTGCAGTGGAACGAGTGTCTGTATGAGCCGCAGCTCATTGAGCGCACCAAGGACGTGTGTGGCGGCGCTGTTGATGTGGTTATTGATTTTGGCACAACTTCCAGAAGTCTGCATCGTTCCATGCATTGCCTGTCCAAGGGCGGCGTCGTGCTGATTAGCGAGGAGGTGGCCGAGAAGCTGTTACCGAAATTCTCCAGGCTATCGAATGAGTACCAGCAGGAAATAATACCAATATCGAATGGCACCGCCGAGCAGCTGGCCGAACTGGTGCAGTTGGTGGCAAACAAAAAGATCGAGCCGCCACCGTACTCGGTATTCCCGTGCGAGCAGGCCGCCGAGGTCATACAGAAACTGTGCAATTCCGAAATACCCGGTCGCGCCATCCTCCGCTTCCACGATATTGAATAGATCTGCAACTATAAAAGCATTAACTCATCTTATATGAATATCTCTGTTAGTTTTACTCACCCACACCGCACACACAAAACACTTGGCGCACCTTTCAAGCGAATTAGCGGATCAGGCTCCTCTGATCCCGCATCCAACCCAACCCAAACCAAACACTAAAATATGTGCTTAATATTCGTAGCAAGCATTCGTTAACGTACTGTTTGAGTTAGTCCTTCAATAAGTTTTCAATTCTCTTGAAAGCAACCAGTGATTTCATTAATTTCATTAACTTCATAATTTTTAAGCATTTTTTAGTATTATTATATTTTGTATGTATATATGGATTGTGATTGATTTTAATTTAAGCAGCCCAAAAAAAACTTTTACGACTTGATTTGCGTACACTTTTATGTAGTTCACGTGTCGTTTATGCTTCAATGTTGATTTATTTAATTGGACTCAAAATCACAGGCCATCAAAATAGAAGCGAGATAAAAAACGTTCAGAATAAATGTTATATAAATAAAAAACAAAAAATTGTTATGCATGCAATGCAAAATGTTTGATTCAAATTGCTTGATACTTGTACTCAATACGTACCCAAAAAAGCTTACAATTTATTCAATTATCAGTAATCATAAATAAAAGCATACGCATACCAATATATACCAATGTACAAGCCTCTCCTCCAGCTGCTGCTCCACTAACATGCGCCAGCCTTTACCTTGTGCTTGCTATGTTTAATCTTGACATGATAATACAAGCCCGAATGCTGGCGAAACTTGGCATCGCATCGCTGGCAGCTGTAGTTCTTTGCCGGCTGGTGACGCAGCTTGTGGCGGGTCAGTTCCTGGGAGCGTCGGAACGCCTTATCGCACACGTTACAGACAAAGTCGCGCTGCTGCGAATGGGAACGCATGTGATCATTTAGATGGGTCTTGCGGGCATACGTCTTGGGGCACTTGCTGCATAGGAAACGACGCAGCTTTTCGTGTGCCACGCGTTGATGTTCCTGTAGCCGAAAGCGCTCCTTAAATATGAGTCCGCATTGCTCACACACAAAGTCATCCTTTTTGGTCTTAGAGGCGCGCTTTTTGAATTTCTTGCACTGCTCCTGTTTTTTGGACTGTTCACAAATAATATTCTCTGTGGCTGGAGTAGTTGCTTGTTGGACAGAGTCAACAATTGATTCAGTAATGGGGTATTCAAGTTTTTCAGCACAATAATTCTCGTAGGAAATCTCTTCCTCCTCTAACCTGTCGCAAGTATTTATTTTACTAACAACTTCAGCTAGCTGAAGTGCAGTCTATAATTTTGGCGGATTACTAACTTAATGTCAATGATTTAATTCTATTTATTTACCTCAACTTCGCAGAGCCCCAGATACGGATCGTTATTCAACGGACTTGTTTTTATTGAGACCGGCTTATTTATTCCTTCTTCTTCTTTGTTCAAATGTGTGAGCGCCAAGTGTTTTTGAAATTCTCGAATGGTGTAGCACAATCTGTCGCACATAAAACATCTTATGGCTAATTCCTTGTACGGTTCCTTGGACAAAAAGAAACCGCAAGTCCACAAATCCTTGAATTGTGCTTCCATAAGCCCTCCTTCCGGATGATTCATTAATTATTCAGTGTTGAAGAAGTTCAAAGCCAGGGCTGCACACACTACACACTAACAAACACATCGATACCTTGTGTTGAAAGCATCGATAATAATTAATGATCGTTCGAGTACAATTTGTTTTTGCGCCAAAACGAGTGCCTAGCGCGGCAAACTGCTGATTTTATTGTTGTATAAAAAAAAAAGAGAGCAAAAGTAGAACACAACCCATTTCTTCAATAGCTGACTAAGAACATTTATTTGACGACATACATACACGATATACCGTGATGGTTAATAACGAAAATGAAAATAGCGCTGTTCAGCAGGTCATTTGGATCGGCAGCCACAACCGAGACGCATCCGTCAAGAGTTTGGAGCACAGAAACGTGTACTTTTATAAGAAGTGTGTGTATGGACCACTTACACTGACTGTGGGCGACTACATTTTGGTTGCCAACGCGGATGCAGCAGAGCCCGACACCGTGGAGGGCTGTGACATTGCCAAGATCCTACATCTCTACGAGCTGCGGGAAATGACCGCCAAGGAATCCTGTCGCGCTATAGTCCAGTGGTACTCACGCCCGCAGGCCATACCGCATAAGTATTTCGATGTGGACGGCTTGGCCTTAGATTTCGACATTGAAGTTATAGAGGAGCATCGGCTATACGACAACGACGTGGCCTTGGGCTCCATTTTTCGCAAGTGTCTTGTGCTGGAAGGCAGTTCCCAGCAAACTGCCCAGCAGATAATTAAACAGCACAACGTAACCAATAAATGTCCAATGTTCGTGTCGCGCTACAAATTCTTAAAGGTAAGAAACGCGTATCGCCTTATTCCCCTGGAGATTCAGCTAGATGGAACGGATTCGGCACGCAAGAGACGCTCCACCCGAGATGCTAGTGCGGGCTCCGCGCGCAAATCCATCTCGCGCAGACGCGTCTCCACAGCCGCAGACAGTGCTGCTCCAGTGGAGTTCGTTGACGTCAACAACTATTTCAATTGCGAGAACAAGGTGTCGCCCATCAAAATTGTGGGCGGCCGCAGCGTGGTACGCCTATCCGAGAAAAAGAAGAGCCTGAGCGCAGTGGCATCAGCTGACGGTGTCGAGACCGAGATCAATGCCAACTATCTAACGGCCTCCCCATTGACCGAAAAGAATCCCAAAGTTGCAACACCAAAGTCGCGCGCATCAGCCGCCCGTCGCAATCTGAATTTAAGTCTGGACAAGGGCGCCGACAGCACAGCTGATTCGGATTGCTTGAACTATTCGATTGTGCAGCAGACGCCAGATCCCAAGACGCCGTCGAATGACATGAAAATTAAGTTGCGCATCTCCGAGCGACGAAAATCGGTGCGTCTCGAATCGTTGGACGATAATATAATTGCTGATCCCTTGGTAGTGGCCGCTGACAACATCAGCGACACACCAAGCAGCAAACAGGGACGCAAGCGTTTGGGTGTCAGCACTGGAGATATCTATCATACGCCCACAAAGAAGTCCAAGGAGCTGCTCGAGTTTGCGGGCACAGAACTGACACCCTCCACGCGCCGCAAAAGCATTCTCAAGTCTGCCACCACACGCCTGGGTAGGTAACTTACCGAACCGTGCATGGGCATTTATTAATCCTATTTTATTTACAGCCGAGGGCACGCCCAGACGCAGCATTCAGCTGTCCAATATTGTGGAGCAGCGCATATTTAAAGACAACGAGATCATCTCCACGCCCAAGAGAAGTCGCTCCAAACTCACGGATGAGGCGGCCGATGCCGATTACGTGCCCAAAATGTCAAGCCAAAAGACACCGACGCGTCCGCGGCGCATGAGCACCACGGGTACCGCAAAGCAACCAACGGCTACAAAACTCAAGGAGAGTGCTCCATTGACGCCATCGCAGAAGCTGAAGAAGATACGAGCCGGCGAGCTGAGTCCTAGCCTGGAGCAGCGTCATCAGCTCGTGGACGAGCGGCACAAGTCGCAGTTGCAGCTGGCTCGCGAACAACTGCACGTTTCGGTGGTGCCCAAGAGCTTGCCCTGTCGCGAAAAGGAGTTTGACAATATCTACAGCTTTCTGGAAGGCAAAATTCAGGATCAGTGCGGTGGTTGTATGTACGTTTCGGGCGTGCCGGGCACCGGGAAAACGGCGACGGTCACTGGCGTCATTCGCACGCTGCAGCGACTGGTTGCCCAGGATGAGCTGCCTGCTTTTGATTTTTTGGAGATTAACGGCATGCGTCTGACCGAGCCGCGTCAGGCCTACGTGCAGATCTACAAGCAGCTGACGGGCAAAACCGTGTCCTGGGAGCATGCACACACGCTGCTCGAGAAGCGTTTTACAACGGCGGCGCCGCGTCGCGTGACCACGGTGCTGCTGGTGGACGAGTTGGACATACTGTGCAATCGGCGCCAGGATGTGGTTTACAATCTGCTCGACTGGCCGACAAAATCGGCGGCCAGGCTCGTGGTGGTCACCATAGCCAATACAATGGATCTGCCCGAGCGTTTGCTGATGGGTAAGCACTAAAGCAACTTCCTGCATATCTGTAAACAGTAGCTAATCCCTGCAATACTCTTTCAGGCAAGGTAACGTCACGTCTGGGACTCACACGTCTTACTTTCCAGCCCTACACACATAAGCAGCTGCAGGAAATTGTCACTGCGCGTCTGGCCGGCTCCGAGGCATTCAAGGGCGAGGCTGTGCAGCTGGTGGCACGTAAAGTAGCCGCCGTCTCTGGAGATGCTCGTCGTGCCCTCGATATTTGTCGTCGTGCGACGGAAATTGCCGACAGCGTCGAATCTCAGCCAGGAGGTGCAGCCAAGTGTGTGACTATGCTGCATGTGCAGCAGGCGCTGGCCGAGATGATAGCCAGTGCAAAGGTGCAGGCTATCAAGAACTGTTCACGACTGGAGCAGATCTTTCTGCAAGCCGTTGCAGCGGAGGTGACACGCACCGGCGTCGAGGAGACAACGTTTATGGGCGTTTACACGCAGATCGAGACAATTGCTGCTTTTATGGGCGTGGCGCTGCCAGCGCCGGGACGCGCTCTACATCTATGCTCCAAACTGGGCGCCGAGCGTCTCATCATCTCCGAGCACTCGCGCCATGATCTCTACCAGAAGATTCTGCTCAACGTTAGCGCCGATGACATACACTATGCGCTTCGTGTGGAGGGCAATTAGAAGTAAGGTTTTAAAGTTTTAAAGCTTTTAAATTATTTAATAATTAAGCGTCATGTTTAAACAATTTAAAGTACAAACTCGTTGATAGGAATACCAAATAGAATACCAATACAGTATAACAGTCGTAGAGCACTTTGGGTGAAAAGACGGAGTAGATAAATAGATGATAGCGAAAGACCAACATCAGGCACAGATAAATGGCCACCGGCAGCAATACCAGAGCAGCATACAGTGGGATCACCAGCGAATCGGCTGCCTTAGCATATGGCGGCTGCAACTGGATGATGCCAACGCTGCGCAGATCCGTGCGCAGGGTGTGCACAATCAGATACAGAAAGGAATGTATTTCGGCGCTGTAGGTGTTCAGCGTTACAAAGAGTCCAACAATGATGGGATTATAGCTAGTCTGGCCAATATAGCCGGGATTCAGGTCAATTGTCGACAGACTGTTCGAGTTGCCCTGATAAAAGTAAAACATTCTGGCCACAAATATGGTCATGATTATCTTGTAGACATGCACCATGCGCACCGAGAACTTGCGCGCGGTGGTGCCATACGCATCGCACAGCTTGTACGTTTCGTCCAGCGTGATGAGCATCGTGGGCAACAGCACAATATTTTGCACCTTGTAAAGCAGCGCCACCAGCATCAGCGAACACGTCATATTCGTTTGCAGCAGCTTCAGCAGGTTGCTCTGCGGCTGCTCATCCAGCAA